CGCCAGTACCTACTGGATTCATCATTTTAAAGCACGTCATGGCATCTGCAGCAGGAAAATTACGAAATTAGTGACGAAGAAGCAAGTCGAAAGCAAGGAAAGTATTCAAGAGTCAGCAGATAATTTCGTCTCGAACGTTCAGAAACTGCTACCTAAATTCAAGCCAGACAATGTCGTCAATACTGATCAGTCAGGATTACAACTCGAGATGTATTCTAACAGAACTTTGTCATTTGAAGGAGAGAAATTAACAGTTGCAAAAGTACGATCGATGCACAATACGACGCATAGCTACAAGATCCAGCCTCTGATCTCACTAGCTGGAAATGCCGTCGGTCCTCTCTACCTCTGCTTGAAGGAAGTTTCAGGCAAGATGCCTGATAATATCAAGGAGACTCTCTTTCAAGCAGATAACATTGTTCTAACGTGTAGTAAGTCGGGAAAACTCACAACAAGTTTGGTTGAATACTGGCGAGACAAAGTGTTGATACCGACAGTAGCCAACAAGAAGTGTTTGCTCATTTCTGACTGCTGGGGAGCGCAGGGTGACGAGAAGATCTACGGCAAGATGAATCATCTGGAGAGGATTGAGATACCCAAGCACACGACGAGCATGATCCAGCCTTTGGATGTTTATTGGAACAGGTAGTACAAACACTTCATTCGCAAGTCTCACGACCACGTTCGACCTCGACATCAATCTTGCTCAACGCAACGAAATAATCAAACTGAACTCTCTCGCCTACAATCAAATCTGTTCTCCCAAATTCACTTCGATGACTCGATATGCGTGGCATCAGAGCAGCTATCTCAAGAATAATCCAGGGCCATTTTTCAACGTCGAACAGATTTATTTCTCGTTCGACAGTGATCGCTGTCATATCAGTAAATGTACGAATACGACATTTATCCAGTGTGCCTATTGTTCGAAAGTTTGTTGTTTCTCGCATTTTTACACCAGCTACCACTATCATTAAAGTGTAGGTTTTTTCTCTCTTAGTTTCTGTGAAGTCCTGTTACTGTTACCTTAAGGGTCGTGATTCGAACTCGAGTTTGTAAATCATAAAGGAATAAAAATGACGAAAGTCAAACAGATTTGAAAGTGTAAGACAGACGAAGCAGTGTTCTCATGGCGTTTCCTTGCCTTTCTGAAAAGTTCTCTGAATGAGAGAAAGTGATAGAACTCTGAAACTTGCAGGATATGAAGACAACCTTTATCCTCACCACCAAAAAAACTTCCAGCCCTCTACGACTTTCCTGGACAGAGTTGTGATTTTTTTAATTTTGCCTGTTTTCCGCTGCCGTGAGAAAATGCGTAAAATGCCCATAACTCCCCAAGGGAAAAATCTCCGCCCGAACCCTCTTAGGCTTTTTACCCACTCCACATGCCCTATCGATCCACGCAAGAACGAACGAAATCGGAGTGCTTCATCTCCATAGGTTCCCTCGTAAGCGAAAATACAGAAAAATGTGTGCTCTTACAATGATGTCTATTAAAAACCGAATACATTGGAAGTATATGTATGCCAATGTATGTATGTATGCACGATACAATCAAAGGAACCGAAATAAAACAAAACAAAGAAAGGTCTCTACCGTGCGGTTGTACACAAACTTCGTCGATTTGTTAGTGGGTGAGAGTATGTAAAATAGTTGACATAGGGTAGGGGAATCCTCAAGAGATGATTCAGCTTTTAATCACTGAAACCAAATGGAAAAATCTCTTTTTTTGCTAGAATGTTTGCCTAGTTAGACAGCTATGTGGTAAAAACAATCTATTGTCGAAAAAAGCTAAACATATCGGTTTCTAACCTGTGCATGCCAACACTGAACTCTCGTTCATGTGACAAATTCTAATCAACACCAGTTCTGTGTGTTTGAGACAAATGTATGATTAAATATGAATAATACTGTACAAACTATCCCTTTCAGACTTAAAAAGTACTTCAGATCAGAAAACTAAACCAATCATAAGTAAAAACACTCTCTATAAACGAACTTTCATTTATATGTGAACTTACATTCCAATGTTTCGACAACGTAAGCGACTATTTATGTTATTATTTTCCTACATTTATCTCATAAAAGAAAGGAGGAGACCCTATGGTTATACAACAGAAGCTCTAATCACTGCGCTACTGAGGCACGGTCGAAACATATTAACACTCGTTATCTGATCGATCCATAGGAGAAGTATTATTAAGTACAGGGCCGAAATACACTTCGACTTTTCTCTGTTAGAAAATAGAAGTACTGGCAAGTGATAGCAAGAAGGTCCGGGATTCAATTCACGGTCGAGGCGCATTTGTCCCCAGTCTTTCTTTCATCATATAGCGATCTACACGCCATTTCAAGAGCGTATTAAATTCAAAATTTGTCTGCTAACTACGCAAATGAATTCAGTTTTTTCCTTTTATTTAGAACCAATCATCAAAGATAAAACAGTTATATTTTCAGCAGATTTTACAACTGTCGAAGATATTGCAAAAGTTGATATGGAAAGGGAGGAGGTGAAATGCTGAAATGTGAAAACTCGAGACAGTCTGTTCTAAACGAATATTTGAAAATAATGAAACAGGAAGCTTCAGTTTTCATTGAATTGAGTCGAATGGAACGGATTTAGGTTTTTAAAAATGTTTTCCTGAAAATTGAACCGAATTCATTTTTCTTGATTCGTTTCAAACTCTGCACTAGATACTAAGAGGTTTGAACTGTAGTTTGAACTACGTCTAAGATTAGTATAAAAGCCCGGTTTCAATTACTTATCCATCCATACCCAATGTAAGTACACATAGATTTCTGACATAAGATTAGTGAACCTTAATCACTGAGATTATTGGAAATATAGTGGAGAACTTTCTGATTGGACACCCACTGTCTGGCGTTCCTGCATCCTTACCTTCATATCCCCAAATCTGATATCGATGCCAATCATGTAGAACACCGTGAAATTTGGGTGGTCCCATGAATTTCGACTAAAGTAAAGTATTTGATGGATTTAATAATCGCTAACGATACAGATTCAGTTTTTCATTCGTAACAATATTTTTTCTTGCTGAACTATAGCTTGATAAATCTATTACATTTTTACTTACCCAATCACTGGATGTTGCAGATTGTTGATTTAAAAGTGGAGCAACGACAACTAAACAAGTGCTAAATTGACGGATGCGTTTGTATGCATCCTTGTAATACTGTTTCAATACATTTTCATTAGTCGATCCTATGAAGAAAATATTTGAAACAAGACTAATGTTGAGTAAGAGTTTACGTACCTGACGGCTCATTCAACAGACTAATGCCGAGAAAAGACGCATCATTATTATATCGTCTAGCAAGAAATTCGACGTTATCCAACGTATTTTGAACATTCTCTGGATAATTCGACCAATATGTATTACCAGGACTCGACGGTGAACTATGATCTTGACCGTTCTGACTACCCTTGGCGGCATGCATACTGATCAGAACAAGCAGATTGTATTTCGGTGCCCATTGTTTGATAGCTTTATCCAAATAATCGAGGGCTCCTGGAGCAAACATTTTATAAGCATTTGGATCTCCACCACCAGACGTATCCCTCTCTAAATATCATCGTTGAAACACATCATGAATACATGAAAACGGAATGAAATGAACACTTACTCGTGATCCAATATCCAACTGGAATTCTTACAGCATTCAGCTTCGCTTGTGCTATGTCACGAAAATCATCTTCTGTGATGAAAGTATCACGATGTTTTCGAAACCGAGCATCACCCTTCGTGTGACCAAGATGTTGCATTGTTTGAAATTCTCCTTTGTTAGCAATATTGTCAGGTACTCCCTCCCATATTGGACTTCCTTTTGTCATCCATGCTTCGGCGACTAACCATCCACCCAAATTAACACCATGTATCGGTGTACGACCATATTTAACATCTTCTCGTAGATTGTCTAATTCAGATGCTCTGCGAAAGAGGCAACATGGATTTACTCTGATAGAACTGGTGTCACAAAAGAAAATATATGCTGAGGATAGTGTGTCAACCGACGTTCAAGCGACCGACATTTGAAGGGGGATGATGAGTAGTAAGAGTGAGTAAAAAACAGCATTTCAAATGTTTGGTTCCATCAGAATTTCGTAACTACTTTGGAGAAGCTAAAAGTTGTAGAAAGCCAAACTATTGACAAAAAGTTGAACATAGAATGCAATTTACATGTCAGACTTGAGTGAATTGATTCAGGGTCTCTATATTGCTATCATTTCCATACAGTTCAACTACCAAGGCGTCCGGTGTTGTTTAATCTTCGTTACGGTTCAAATAAACATGAGACTAATTTTAGCTGAAAATTAGGATACCAGTGAGTTTTGTATCGTTTTGTTTAAATGTCTGTTTAACATAGAACTTATTTGATATGTAGAAAATACATATTTCCTACTTTAGTTGTCTAACACCTTATAGAAGGTCGCCAGAAAAGTTTAAAGCTCTCTGTCTTCTCTACGTTGATCTTTCTCGCTGTCTGTTTGATAGTTGCATCTATCGTTCTCTGTATATAATGTGTTGCCCTAGAGTCTTTTATTGTCATTATTATACATGCGGATGTAGTTACTTATTTAGGTTAAACTTACTGAGCTACCACGGCCATCAAAAGCATACAGACTATGATTATAATACGGGCGAATATGTCATTATAAAGTTGTGGCTAGTGCAATAGCAGTGTCAGTGATACTGATGCACAGGCTTGTTCGAATTTATCTTTTGTTTTCATAAAAGAGAAGTAAATGGCTTCCAACGACAATAAAACAGACAGCGAGAAAGATCAACGTCCGAAACTGCCACGCATCCGCTTAAATATGTGCGATTAGTTCATGAAGCATTTACTTACTTTGTGCAGACTATAATTGCGCCAACACAAAAGATACAAATCAAATATTCCTTCATTTTATGCTGTATGTTGTTTACAATTGTTCAAAATATTCAAATCCACAATATCATGAAGCTCTCGTAAATGCAAATTGAATAGTATCCTGGTAAAAACAGAAATAAATGTACGTTAGAATGGCCGTGTGTTATATATGGACCAGAATATCAATACTTACTTCTCTGCGCATTCTCTTTCTTTTAGTATTGTCATTATTTCTCTTTTGGTCTAGTTAAGCGGACGAATATTTCTATACTATTTTGCCAGGAAGAAGGAAAAGAACGAAACATGACATCACTCTACACAGACAACAGTCTTAATGTATATTAGAGCTTTCTCTTTTAGCGCATCTTGATGTTTTTCTTGATGTCGCATGTAGATATGTGTATGTCAGACATGAGGATACATATAGAAAAGAAAAGGTGATCTATATGCGACATCAAGAAAAAGATCAGGATACGCTAAAAGAGAAAACTCTATTATATATATGTACCGTACATTGCAATGTGAGCACACACTATATATAACGTGAATAAGAAAACAAAATAGAAAAGAGTTACAGTCATCTTTCATATACATAACTTTGTTGTTATATATATATGAGTCAATTGCAACTTTTTGTACAATTGATAAAAAAAAAAATGAAAGTGATCCTTTTGAAAATTTAAAAGGTGCATTTTGTTGCCCATCACATTGACTGAGTCTGTGGTAAAAATTTCCCGACTACCACACCTCAGGAAGCTGAGATAAACGAGACGCAGAGTTACGACTACTCTTCTAAGGAGTTTATCCTAAGGAATATATCGAAATCAGTCTTTTTGCACATATATGACACACCATTGAACAGATCTTGACAGCAGCTATCATTCGGCATACACGACACTCCAGTGCGCTCTTTCACTTCTATAAAACCATACAAAGGCTTGTGCAAGTTTCATGAACTTCGTGAGGAGTCGAACGATATATAATAGTAGCAGTTTCATTCGAAAAAAGCTCGTAGATTCATAAAACTGGCCTTGCATTTCGAGGTATAATGTAAAAATTTCTGACAAAGTCTGGAACTTTAATGAAACTGCTATGTCAGTTTTGTTCAGTTTTGCGAGCTGCATCTTTCTATGAAACTTTCACAGCACTACGTTCAGTTGT